TTTTTTTTTTGGACAGCATGTTGAATTTCTATACTTCTCAGCCTTAAAAGTAGAATAAAAATAACAAAGATGTGGAATTTGTGAATGAGTTTGGCCCTTTTTTGAGATAGGATTTTACAATGCAGTTCAGGCTGACCTTGAACTCACTTTGTAGACTAGGCCAGCCCCAAACTTACATTGATCCTCCTGCCTTAGCCTCCAAGTGCTGGGACTATAGGCGTGTGCCATCATGCCTGGCTTTTGTGATTCACTGTATTTTTTAAAAATGTATTTAGAAAAAAAAATGTATTTAGTATAGGGTATACAGGGTCTCACTACACAGCTCGGACTCGGACACTGGGGATGAGGCCGGCACCCCAAGGATGAAACCCTGGGTGCCTGTGATGCCTGGGTTTTGTGAATGATTTTGAGTCATCTTACCAGTGAGTAGTTCTATCCATGTTTGGACAGTTTCTGTGGGTTCAGTGGCTTTGATGTGTTTGAGAGTTTCATCCAGTAACACATCACCTGTTGGGCTGTCTGACTTCAGCAGTACCTTTAGAGAAGAAATAAAAGATCTTGATTTATTTGTTTCATTCAAATTTATATAACACACACACACACACACACATTATACATATAACTGGCTAGGAGTCTGAAGAAATGTAAAGCACACTACTAGTATTGTTCTATCCTGAACAAGTTTTTTTTTTTTTTTTTTTTCTGAACAAGTTTAAAATGTAGTATAAAGTGACAGTAGGAAGCCAAAAATAACAGTTGATGTGAGTCCTGGCAACAAACTGGATATAAATAATAATGGAGTAAAAATTCAATAATTAAAAAAAATTCAACAGTTAACTCTGAATCTGAACAACTACCAGTGAAGCTATTAGTAAAGGTTGGAAAATCAGGAAAAGAGCAAATTTTGGGGAAAGTTGGTAAATTTGATTTTAATAAAGAACAGCCAAGTTGAAATGTCTAGCCAATAGTTGAATGTATTCCTGGAGCATGAAAAAGACATGCCTAACAGAAGACCCAATGCTATTATGGGCTACTGGACTCTTTTAGAATATTTTGCTGAGTTTACACACCTATAATATTCAACAACGGAACTTAAAAA